CATAATTATATAATATATATTGCATCCTTTTAATTAAAAAGTTCCCGAATATGTTGAAAAAATTTTGAAGTGTTAAATTTAATGCGGTTTTATTATTAAAATATTAAATTTTAATGTCCGAGTTCTCTCTTTGCTTATAAAGTGATACTTGACATTTACCGGTATGCGTTTTGCGTTTTGAAATTTTCTATTTATAATTGTACATGCGTGTAAACAGTTTGGCGCAAAGAGTAGCACGAGGCTTCCATAAGTCTCATCATCGATAGATGCTTTCGACGTAATTTATCTGTCAAACATGTATAAGCAAACTGAATATTTCAGCAAGTTGTGCTTCAATTAACAATTATATGTATAATTATAAAAAACAGATTGAGTAAATAATGAATATATATGTTCGGCAGTTTCGAATGGAAGTTTATTAATATCTGCATACATACTGATAAAATAGGTAGTAGATGGAATGGAATCTTCTTCTGTGAGATGTGAATTATTTCGAGTTTTTCGACGCGAAGAATTCAGTTGAAGAAATGAATAAAATATGATAGGACAAATAGAGCCCACATTGTTTTACTTTAAAATTAAATTTAGGCCAAAGTTTAAACTGTATTGGTTAAACACAATGTTCAACTTGTCTCTTGTGTAGCTTTGAACAACATATGCAATGCCGATTTTAATGATTTGATTTTAGACTTGTCATTGCATAAGAAGTTTACTTTTATATACTCTTAGAACTTTCGAAACTTTCAAAAATATATATAACTTAGTTATTCTATTACAAACTTATATATAATATGAGCTTAAGGCGGGATTCTCCTGTGGAAGATCGTTTACAAGACAGATTTTAGAAATTTAAGGAAAAATCAATTTACTTAAAATTTATGTGTTTATTTATCTATTTAAAAGATACAAAAATTATTTTTTAATTTAATCGATTGATCGATCCAATTTGTAATTATTAAACAAAAGGCAACTTATATGTCCCAATGTGTTTGCGATAATATTATATTAGAAAATAAAAAATCTTATTATTATATATTTGAAATGATATAATCAACAGCTATTATTATCATGAGATATTACAATTTTTAAATATCTGTAACTTTCTGTATTTCGAGCGTCAGTCAATTTATTTGGTGTGTGTGTGAATAAGTTATTCACACGTAAAAATTGAAGTTGCAAATAAAGCTCTTTGCCCAATTGTGAGTATAAGTGCTTAGTGAAGCATTATTAATATATTCGATTACATGTAACACATTTTAAGTTGTTTTATGTTTAATTACATTTTTCCATATTGGTGTAAACATGATTTATAATACATATTAAAAGTTATTAAAATATGTACGAGGTGATATTAATGTGTATGCTATGTATACATACACAAAAAAGAGATATTTTCTATAGAGAGAGAATAAATAACTTATATATTTATTAATCGACTTAATCAATAGTGATATAAATTTATATTTATATTAGAATAACGTGTATGTACGCATGCATTAACAAGATCTATCAATCTATAAGAGATGTGTAAGCCCATTATTGGAATAACATAATAAATGATTATTGAAATATTCTACTATGCTGCTTGTATCGAGATTTTCTATTTAAATTGTTTTCAAATTTCGTACTTTGTAACTTTAACTTTGAAAACTTTGAAATTTGACGATGAACAATTTCAAACGTTCTATTGAATTAGCTTAAACGGCCGACTAATGTGTGATTTTATGGTTTCATATAAATAAAGAGTGATAGAAATGTGTTGGAAGAAGATATAGAAGCGAATTAAATTTGTTACAACTTTAGATTAAAAAATTTAATAGATTATTTAATTATTGGAAAAAGAATTTCGCGAATAAGTTTTCTATTAAAAAAACTTTTTTATTCGAAAAATGTTCTCTATAAAATCGAATTTTTCAATACTTCTTATTTTTTCTGCTAAAAATATAATATTTTTACAAACAAATCTAATAATTATGTCTTTCCCTCTATTTGCAATTTGATTCTTTTTAGCGCGCGCGCGCGCACACACACACACACACACACACACACAACACACACACAACACACAAAAGCGAAATTTTACTATCAAATTTCTCCAAAATAAAGAAAAGCGGAGTCCAATTTTCCTTCTTCGAAATAAAATTTTGTAATGGAATAATGAAAATCTATTTGTAATGGAATATCAAGAAGTTAAAAAGAAATTTTAAATTTTTCCATATTTTTTGAAAGCGTAGAATAATAAAAAAATTTGAGCAGGACAAAAGATCTAGATTACAAATGGAGAAAAATATAGTTGTAGATAGAAAGCTAAATATGTAAAATTAAATATCATTACAATTACGATTGTTACAGAAATACCTTGCTAATTTTTGCGCATGGTGGGATTTAAAACAATCTAAAAATCAAGTATGACTTTTTCATTTTGCGCATTTTATTATTTTTAAAATAAAATTATATTTATAAATATAATTTATAAATATAAATATAATTTATTTGTAAATTAAATTTTCTTAATTAATTGATTACTGAATTTTATGAGTAACTTTTGTGTACACTTCTATTATGTCATAATTTAATATTCTAATCTAATATCTATTATATCATAATTTAATCATAATTGAGGCATTAATCATTTTTATTATTATAAAAAACCGAAGATTTAAAAATGCCAGTAAAAAAATTATCTAAAATTAATTATTTTCACTAATATTTATTATTTACAATATTAAAAATTATAAATAATTATGACTGACTTCATATTCACGGGAAAATTCGTAGGGAAACAGAGAGAAAATATGCGACTCGTGGACTGTAAATACTACTGTATTAAATTTACAACTAATCTAATAGGGTACTAGCGAGACTATTTGAGCATAAGGGCAAATTGGTCAAATGCAAATATCTAAATCATTAAAAAATATATAGATACGTCTATACTTGCGTAATGTAGCACAAAGACAGAGATTACTGTGCCTTAATACAATAATCTGTCCGGTTGTCAACAAATACACTTTTTCGTTTTCATAAAAAGTAAAATTTCGTTCAAAAGTAAAATTATTAGATGAGTATTGTTTTTGGCTTACATGATAATTAAAGCGATTAATAACAATCGAATAGTGTTTTTTGGATATAAATTATTATCATATTTTTTAACTTTAATTCAAGTTGCTATTTTATTTATGATTTTTCAATTATAAAAAAGTATTTTAATCAACATCGATATGGGATTTGTTGGGTCAGTGTCTAATTAACTTTATAAACTCAACTGCTTAAATGAAATCTGTCTTTATCAATGCTTTTTATTCTATGTTAATTATTAAACATATATATTATATATTACGTTTAATATTATTATTATAAAGATTAAAGATTTTATAATTTTTTAAGATTAAATTTGGAAAATTTGGGGGGACTATTAATATTTCAGATTGATTGAAAGTCCGACTACCATATTGGCATGCAATTATAATTTCTAAAATTAATTCATTTAGATGAATATATATATAATAGTTCATCTTATTCAGACGTAGCGCTTCGTTTACATTACTTAACATTAACTTAAAGTAAAGATTTTAGTTTTTCTAATTTTGTTAATTAAAACATTTAAAAAGAGAGAGTATTACAAATTATTGTACTTAAGATGAAAATAATAAAAATTTGATTAATATAATACACATAATCCTTTCATGTTTTTAATAATATATAATCTCATTAAACATTATCTTCATGGCTCAACTTTCTTCGAGGATGTTCAACATGCCTTATAGATGGGGTATATTGATTCTTGTAATTAATTTTTTTACGAGCTATATCAAGGATTTATAAGTACTTAATTATTGAGCCAGACATTGAACATGCAACATTTTAAAGTATTCACCATTAGGTATCTATCGTAATTATATGAAAATTTGTAATAATTTAAAAAAAAGCATAACTAGCTCTGCTCTACCCTATTGAAGCTAAGAATATTCAAAGTAACGAGTCTCTTTCCAAGCAATAATACTGGGAAACAACTTGAATAAGCAAAATCAAAACCCTTAATAATAATGTATCATGTACATTTAGCTGATGATCGTAGTATACGTAATACTAAGTGAACATGATATACTTATATATGTGATATAAGTGCACAGGAAATGTTAGCTTTTTCTACAAACTAATCGCATTTTCATAAACAATATAATAATTAATATAATAGACTAATAAATAATTAAATAAATTTTTTACTTATACCTATTTGATGCTACATTCATATTTAAAGCAAATTAATGTGATTATTATATTTTCTGTCCTTTTTTTCTAATGAAAAAGTAAAATTTTGTTGACTATTTGTATTTATATTTATAAAAAAATAATTTTAATTTAAAAATGGCTTATCAAATATTTTTAATTAAAAAAATTTTAATTTAGTTAATGAAATAAAGTAAAATATATATATATATATATATATGGTCTTGTATCGTTAAAAATTTTCACAATATAACTTGATGAGGTAGTATCTTATTTTCAATCATTTCGATCATTTTATCTGCAATAATGATATATCTAATATGCAGTATTTAAAAATTATTTTTTTATAGTTTCCTTTTTACTTAAACATATGATTTATGTATCCTAGATAACGTTTATGTTGCGTAAAATATCTGAAAGATGTCTTTTAGATGTCTTATGTCTAAAAAATGTTTTAAAAAATGTCTTTTAGATATCTTATGCAACATACATGTTATCTGAGATATTTTTATATTAGTCTGCAATCTGCTTTCAATTTCATCTTTTTTATATCAAGAGAGTGAACAAAAATATTTTTTTTGTTACAGATGGCGATAACAGAAGATATTTTTAATATGAGCTCCAAAATGGAGTACGATTATGAATATAAATATATACCGGTTGCTGAAAGAGTTGAGACTTATATTATACCTGTAATATTTTTATTAATTTTGATTGTGGGTGTAATAGGAAATGGTATTTTAATACTTATTTTGCTACGTCATACCAGCATGAGAAATATACCAAATACATACGTACTGTCTTTAGCTCTAGGCGATTTATTGGTGAGCTTTGATTGCGCTTCCTTTTTTGAATTTCTATCTAGTTCAAGAAGAGTAAAAATTGTTTGGGATGAATAATCTTTAACGAAAAAGGAGCATAAAATTACTGCACAAGTTGTTTTTTGTGATATTTAATATATTACAAAAGTTCTGATTTAACTTAGACGTTTTGGCCAATAACTGGCCATCTTCAATAAATATATAAATAATCTCGCATTAGTTATATAAATTTAAAAATAAAATTCGCAATCATACATTTAGTTAAAAACGCTTTCTTTTATCTTGTTCTATGAGTATCATAATACATAGTTGATGAGACAATTGAAATGTTTCGAATTGTGTAGAACGAGAATTCTCAGATTCTGTTTTTACAGTAATTCGGTGAAATTTGCGTGATAAATTTAAATTTATGTAACTAATATGGGATTTCTTTTTATGTTAAATTTTATGATTAAAAACCACTTTCTTATTAATTATATAAATAATCTTTATTTTAAATATGAGCACAATCCATATATAAAAAAATAAAAATATGTATATCTCTCAAAGATAAAAGTAAGAAAAATAAAAAAAATATATTTTCTTAGGAATGAATTTTCCTGAAAAATAGATTTGTAATTAAAATATACATACATATTATTATGCTTTATGTTTGAAACTGTCTGTCCTCAAATAATTTTTACTTATGAGAAAAAAAGTATATCCTTTGCCTTCTGAATATATTGTATTTATAATTATCCTGGGATCTTCTTGGATAATTTATTATATCTTTTGATGATATAAAATATCATGTGAATCTCGAAAACAAAAATAATTCGTTGTTACAGGTGATAGTGACTTATATACCTTTCACATTATTTGTTTATGTACTTGATTCATGGCCATGGGGTTTAACTATCTGCAAATTATCTGAATACGCTAAGGATATTTCGATTGGTGTATCAGTATTTACTTTAGCCGCTTTATCAGCCGAAAGGTAAATATGTGAACTAAGAGCTTTATCATGCTGTGCAAATTAATTCAAGGAATTAAAGAAAATGTTACTTAGTTAAATAATATTACATACATAAATATCCGTAGCTTAATCGAGAGATTAAAATTGAAAATTCAGTCATAATATATTCAAGTATTAAATCGAATTTTAAAACCAATTAATACTTGTTACACACAATTGGATCATCCGTATTCTGCGTATTTCGTATTCTACCTGTTTCTCTTCTTTGAAATACTAGGAGCAATTTACTAAATAATGATCTCTAGTCTTTTCCTTTTTAATATTGCACACAACTTTCTAAAGATGTTAAAGTAAGAATCACTTAACAATTCTTGTATACTTGTGAAAGTGATGAACCCGTACACGAAGAATCCATCGTGTGTAGTAAAGGATCGGAAAATTATTGTGTGTACTAAAGATTATAATGTATGCTGTGTAACTCGTTTCAATGTGTGTGTGTGTGTGTGTGTGTGTGTGTGTGTGTGTGTGTGTGTGCGTGCGTGCGTGCGTGCGTGCGTGCGTGCGTGC